TTTTCTTTATATAGTATTGAATTGTTTTGGGTCTTGACTTTTTTCCTTTTTTTTTTTTTTTTTTTTTTTTTTTTTTTTTTTTTTTTTTTTTTTTTTTTTTTTTTTTTTTTTTTTTTTTTTTTTTTTTTTTTTTTTTTTTTTTTTTTTTTTTTTTTTTTTTTTTTTTTTTTTTTTTTTTTTTTTTTTTTTTTTTTTTTCATTTTCTTTTTTTTTCACCCTGTTCTTAGGGGAGATGCAGGGGAAGGGGAGATGTATAGCAACATCCAGAATTCCTTGCAGGTTCCAACATTGATCAAACCCTGTGAAGCACATTACTGAGGCTGTGAAGGATGCTGCTTTTGTCCTCATTTCACCTCGTTCTGTCAGGGTATTGCATCACGTAATATGCAAAGTGTTCAGAGCTCCTGCAGTACCCTAGTAATAGGGGTGAACTGAGGTTGCAGCAACAGCCCTACCTCTGCATTCCTCTTGCTTTCTATAGGCTTTAGCACACTCACTTATGCTGCAAACCCTCCTTGGGGTCATTGAGTCCACTGAACATGATGTGATCCTTGTGGGGTCATTAAGAAGCGATTGGGGGGGGGAATTCTTCAGAAAGATCCACTTGGAGAGATCATAATGTGATTAAATGGTGCAGAGGGGAGTCATTATTTTCAGGTGTTTATCTTTTCAGAGTTCTCCTGCCCCCCTGAAATTAATGCTCCTGTTTTACATCTCTCGATTCTCTGTTCAAGGATGCGGGACTGAAAATCAGCAATGCAGTTGTTTGCTCTTGTTCCTCCTTCCCTCTGTCAGCCAAGAGGGTCCCCTTTCTTTTCCTCTAGTGAGGAATTCTTGCAGGGAGATGGTTAGCAGAAGAAAAGCGTTTATGAGAAAGATGGCTGGAAACAAGAATGCAAAATTCAGGGGGTTGATGGCACCATTTTGGTCAGAGTCCCCTCTCTAGATGACAAGGGGGTGGAAACATCTTTCTCTGCTTTCTTTCCCACTCCTTTCAATTTCCCATATCTCTTTGGCTGTGTTAGTGCTATACCCAGGGTCCTTCGGTCATCTAATTGTATTTGGGAGAGGTGTGTGTTAGCATTTGAGCACTCTGTGCTCCTCTTTGCTGGTGACTGTGTATGTGAGGCTCTGTTCCCTCTGTGTCCCTGCCTTTTATGCTGCTTCTGCCTTCGTGAGCGTGACTGGCCGTAGGAAAGGGCTCTTTGGGCCAGTACTCCTTCTTTTTGGGTGTGGGGTGGACAGGGGGATCCTGCTTACTCCCACACAGCTAAAATGTATGCAAGAGAAGAAATGTAGCCAAGTAGGTAAAGAAATAACAGTTTATGGTTCTCTTTTCTGTCCCTCCCCCCATCTGGTTTCTAGTAGCAACAAGAGCCTTCACAGGAGCAATGCATCTCCTGTGTCACACGACTGTTTCTATTCAAGTATCATTGTATTTTTGGTCTGGTCTGTCGAAATATCTTTCTGGCATAGTGGAATGAGTTGGATGGGAGGGAAGGATACTCCTGTCTGCCCTGTTTGGGGAAAAGTTATGCCGGTATAAAGAATGCGTGGTGGTGTATTTTATGCTGGGGAAATGGGATGGGAGTGCTCTGCTGCTCTTGCCTATTCTCTTCTGGAAAGCAGTGAAGAGCTGTGCTGGCAAACTGTCTCTTCTGGTGTAAGCAGAGCTCTGCCCCAGGCTCCTCTGGCTCTGAACTGTGATGTCTAAACAGATTGCTGGGTTACACGCTGAGCGTGACTGAATGCCACTGAAATGCAGTGGAGCAGAATTTCACGTGCCTGCTGCCCTGTACCTGCTAGAGTTGTGTGGGGAAAGCAGAGATGGAAGAGGGCACTTATTTTATCTGGTGTGGCATGTAAAGCATTAAGCTTGTGGCAATTCCAGGCTCTACTGGTATGGGAGACTGAAGGGATCCTGTGACTCAAATGGTGCTATGCTCTTCCTTGCTTACTTCATATGGAGGGGGATGGTAAAGAAAGAGCAATCGGAAGGATTGCTTAAGGGACTGTCATACCTCTCAGATTGTGCAAGCATCAAAGCAAGTGAGCCCACAATTAGCCAAGACAAGCAGAATGGGCTAGATTGTCCGTAATTGGGAAGGAAACAGGCCAAGGGAAGAGTACAGTGGTGTACTCCTTGTCCTTCCTTCACCCACAAACTCTCCTGGTGTTATAGAAGGAGCATTGCTATATGCTTATGGTCAGTTTACTGCCTTATTGCCTTTTTCTTATTTTCTTTTCTCCTCACTGTAACAATGAGGTGTAATACTGATGTGTTACAGAACCTACCGTGGCAGGAAAAGCATCTTGTGTCCAGTCACTCATGATCTACTGTTTGGCTCAGTGATGTATCGACTTGATTGAAGAGAAATCCTGCTGATATTTGGGGACCTTGCTAATATTCTTGCTCCGTTAGGAGAGAAAATGCTGTAATGATTTTTTGGGGGGCTGGAAAGCAACTATGCTTTCATTACTTACAGCAGCTGGCATAAGAAAGGTAATACACTGGAAAGGAGAACGACCTCATCTTCACTCTGTATATATTAAAGGATAAGATGCTGAAGTCAAATGAGGAACTGTAGATCTTTCCACAGTGAAAGCGAGGTACTTAATGCAGCAGTACTTAGCATTCAGGAGCTTCATTCAGCCTTGGACTTCAGAGAATTCAGCTCCTTTCCCTCCTTCCTTCACCTCCTTCTTAGACAAAATATATAACACTGCATGTGCAATATCTGTTTTAAGGAAGCTGAGAACATTTAGCTGAAGTACAGGGAAATGCTGCATGTAGGGTTTCTTGGCAGCTTTTTTTTGTGTGTGGTTTTATAACCATCTATAACTGGAAACACCTAAATTTGTTCTTTTGCCCACATCTTACTGATGTTCCCTGCCCTGTTTGGCACGTGGAGGGAAGGGATGGTGTGCATCCCTTCTCTGTCCCTGCTTACCCTGTGTGGCCCTCCTGGACCATGTTCTTCCCTTAGGATGTGGATTTGCAAGTTGTTTTTCTTTTTTTCCCCACGGCAAAGCTGATTTTTAAGGTTTGTACTAGCCTTTGGTTGCCCTCAGGATAGTCTATTAGGCAATGCAGCAAATTCAGCCTAGGAAGTTTTTGTCATTGTCCCAGTCACCTCCACTGCCTTTTCAATTATTTTACTATGTTTGCCTTGTGCAAGAAAAGGTTGTCTGTGAGAAGGGATGGTTTTCATCCCAGTTCAGCATGGTCCTTAGAAACAATTTGACTTGGGCAGACAGACGTGTTTGTGCTGCAGCAGTGCAAATGAATGGTTGTGACTGCACTTTTTTCCAAAGGGCTAATAAAGCTTTTACTGAATGTATCCAGAACATGAACCAACAAACAGGTTCATCAGCCCATTGGTAGCTATCATTGCGTGCAGGTGGGAGCTTGGACGAGCAAGAACCTCATAGAGTCCCCTTGCTAATGTGTAACTGTGCCTGTGTTTATTGCATGCTCTTCTGCCACAACATGTGGCTGTATTAATATTCTCACAGACTTTTCTATGGCGCTTAAAGCCCTCTTTTGCAACACCTCTTTGTGAAAATTAACAAATGCTTCTCCTTTCCATATGAAGGTCTGGCATTGGTACCACATGTCATATTGACATAGGATGTTTACTTTAAGTACCTGGATTTAAATAGTTATTAATGACAAGCTGAAAATAAGAGGCTGTTGCTCTCCTGCTGTGTGTTTTCTCATTTATCCTTCCTGTTTTCCCACTACCTTTTCAGTTTATTGCTTAGCTGAAGGAATAATTGAGGAATGTCACAGCTTGAAGGAAAACTTTTTAAAAAATGTTATGCTATTCCCCAATAGTGTTCATAAAGTAGAAAACATGGGAGAAGCACATTTGAGAGCTGAAGTTAATCATGAGGCCCAAACCATGGGAAATTTGGCTTCCTTACCTGCAGAGTGCATGGAACCATTTTCCTTCTAGAGGTGCTATGCATGCTCTCCATGAGTCTGGTGCTCAGTACAGGAATTTGCTTGCATCCCTCCCTGGGTATCTGTAGCAAAGGCAGGGGGAATGATTTTTGAGTTCATTGTGACTCGTCGTGAAGTCCAAAATTTGTGGAAGAATGAGATTCTCCAGACAGTGAGTGCTTCCAGCAACTTCCACTCCATTAGGTGAAAATGGAGTCTCACCTTTCCGACTGAATCTTTATTTTCAGAGGTGCTACCATTACAGTGTGGTTAATAATGAGTAAGCATAAGGGCATAGATTTCAGAACACCACCACTGGTACTGACTTTGATCCAGTCCTCTCAAATGGCTACTGTTGCATATAATGTATACTCAGTCAGTCACAGTGAAAGAGACAATTGGGTTTTAGTCCCATTTATATGAAATATAACTGCTCAGGGTGTTTTCACACTGTAAAGGTTAAAAGCTTGTGGGGGACTAATAATACGTAGAGGTGGGGTCTGGTCCAAGATGAAAATTGCTGAGGCCTAAGAGTAGAAAGATTTGCCAAGATTATCTGCAGTGGTTGTGCAACCCTAGGAGTCTGGCAGTATTGGAAGGTATGGATTGTGTTTGGGGATGTTTTTCCTTAAGAAAACAACTGCTTTGGGAGATTAAAAAAAGAACCAACAAACAAAACAAACCACAACAAAGCAAACGCCCTCCCTCCAAAAAAAAAAAAAAACAAAAAACAAAAAAACAGCCCTATGTCTACAGTTTTGGGGGACAAGTTCTGAAATATTATATGCTGTGTTTCAGAAATATGGGAACTGGATTGGATATCATGCATCATTTAGGCTTATTAAGAAAATATGTAGTAGTTTGTCTGGTGACTATTGTTCTTCTTTTGTTTCCTTCCTTTCCTGAATTGTTGGGAACAGCAGCTGTTCATCAGAGTTCTCCATGGAGGACTGAAGTTAGAGCTGCAGATCTGGGTTTTAAACTGGGAAGGGCAAGAGAAAAAGAGATGAGATCATTATCTGAAATGCTCTTATACCTTTTCTTTCTTTTTCAGTGGACGAATATATTGCCATTGCTAAAGAAAAGCATGGATACAATATGGAGCAGGTAACAACCCTTTGAACTTTAAAATATTTTTCAGCTTGTATTAAAACATGACTTCAAGTGACTGCCTAGAATTGCTTCTTCCCTTCTGTACTGACTATGTTTTCTTTTTTCTTACTTGTCCCAAAACTGACTGATCCTAGTAACAGCAAGCTGTGCTCTGAGGGTGTGGAGTTCATCTGTAGTTTTATCTTGGGATATGGAGTTAGCCCCTAGTTTTACATGGAGAGTCAAAAAAAAGAAAAACAAAACCACTGTAATTTCTGACAGAAATTACACTGGCCATAAGTGTTTTGCTTCCTCTGGTGACTACCTCTTGCACACTTTCAGAACCCCTAAACAATGTTAAAAAGATTGGCTTGTCGTTGGACAGCTGCCTGATTGCATTGCAGTTTCCATCTGACTGCTCCATCTCTTGCTTCATGGATGTCTTGGCAGTTATTAATGAGCTATTGAACCATCATATGCTTTTCTGAGGCAAACCAATATCCACAGTTATTTACCTTAAAACTGTGTTGCAAATAATTTTGCATTTCATAGGTGAGCACCTTGCCTGTCGGTGCAGTAACGGTGGGTGACTTTGCCAGCTGTCACTGACCTTAGACAGTACCTGTGGCCTAGGGATGGGAATCCTGGTCTGAGGAGCAGATCTCCCCTTTACTCCCTGTGGTCTAGGATTGTGTACTAATCTTTCCTGTTTTAACTAACATCGATTTCAACACTTGTTGTGGAGATGAGTAGATCTGTCTTTGGGAAACTTTTCTGAATTCTCTGGAGTTTCCTTATGCACTAATACTTGCCCGGAAAGGGAAGGCAGGGGATCTCATGACTTACTGAATTGTCAAATCACATACTGTCTCTACAAAGGGATTCTACCAGAACATGGAAGTTTATAAAATTGTTCAGGCAGAGCATAGAAACGCGTGATTTGGATGGGCAAGGGCTTCTATTTAAATGATTCTGCTGTCATCTTTGAGTCAGACTTTCGGTGGTTGATACTCATGCTCAAAAAGACTTCTTGCTGAACATGAACACTGAAATTGAGATAGCCAGCAAAATTTCCAGCAAACCCAGGAATGATCAGACTTGATAACTGTAGTTTCAAAGAGCAGAAAATTGCTATAAAAAGGAACATGAAAGCTTCAAAAGGCTATGAACTTAAAATGAACATAAAGATGGTAACTCTCTTCACCTGATATGGGTATACCCTAATATTGGATATTGTGGGTAATATTTGCCAAGAGAGATGGTCTCAGAGTAATAGATATGGGTTTCATTATTTTAGTGGAGAATTTATGTTTGGAGAATATAGACTGATACAAAAGACTGATCAAAATGAAGCTTGTGATTTTTAAAATAAAAAAAACAAAACACAATCTCTGAATTCTTGTCATTTGAGGAACTTAAATTTAGCTAGTAGAGATTTGCATTCATTTTAATGTTGGAAATACAGACCTCCCACTCGTTCCTTGAAGTCTTTTTCTCCTTTTTCCTCTTCTCTGTGTACAGAAGTTGTAGGACTTGCCACACCAGGATGTAAAGTGGCTGAGCAATGTGTAAACGTTTCCTACTTCTAAAAATTTTCTCATTCCTACTGTAGTACTCTCACATAATGCTCTGGAGTCAAACATGTTTCCCAGGTCCTTGGGTGTTTCCTAGACAGCTTACACTAGGCACTTTCAGGAAATAACTGGAAAGGATCTATTTTCTATTGCTCTGGAAGGCATGTATTCATTTTGTGTTATAGGGACAAGTGTCAAGGCTTTCCAGTCAGGATGATTTGTTGTGTCACCAAGGGACACTCAGTCTTCAGCAGGTATCATCGGAGTTGCTGTTGGCTGGGTAACTGTGGACAAGTTGGAAGCCAGTCAGAACTTGCTTCAGCAATTGGCCACCGTCTCTGGGCTTTGCTGGCCAAGGCAGCCCTCTCCCACACGCACATCCCCCTGACAGCAGGTCTCTTTGGACCTCTGTCCAGGTGGCTTGGCCTGGAATCTCTGCATGGAGATTCCCGTTCTTCCACCTGTGCCCGCTGCCCAAAGCCTCCCTCTGCAGACTAAGATGTGCCAGTCTGAAGGGAGTGGTGAGCAGCTGGCAGGTGCAGGGGCGTGTGCCAGCTCTCCTCTGCCCAGCGTTGTTCCCATCCAGCCCAGGTGGCCACATCTGTGCCACGTGCAGCTCCCAGCCCTGTCCTTTCTCTCCCCTTGCCTGTGGCTGAATGCCCTGTTGGCTCTGCTGCTGTTGGATGATGGCTGGAGGCTCGGGGCTGTGCTGGTGGGAGTCTCTGCAGCTTTGCCAGCTGGAGGGTAGGCAAAGGGCAGGCTCCCACAGGCCAGTGAGCTCTGGCAGGCCAAGCCCACTTGAGCTGGTGGTGCAAACAGCTGTCGGTGTTTGTGCTGAGCTATGTCGATCACGGGCTTTTGGAAGCACTACAGTAAGTCTGGCTGTGAGCCGTGCTTTCCTGCCAGCCTGTGTCAGACACCCTGGGACAAAGGAGTCTGGGAAAGCTGTGTACTTACCCATGTATGAGTGCAGAGTTCTTCTAGGGCAGCACGGGGGGGAGGAGGAATATTGCTCTGCTGTTAAAACAAACCTGTAAGGAAAATCTTTTGTTTACCTTTTGCTTTGTGTAAGCAGCTGTCCCCTCAGCCCCTGCTAGCATCTTAGTGGTTTTTAATGCTACCCTGCCCTCCTCCCAAAATGTCTTGCTCCTTGTTTTACCCTTGCTTCCTCATGGGGATATTTGGTACAACTTGTGTCTGAAGCTGAAAAGGATGTCAGGGGAGAGAAAACTCAGTCCTTCATGACTGTAGAATAGTTCCTTTGGCCCCATGTTTGCCAGAGTGGCTGTGTGGCTCCTGAGACATCTTGAGTGACTGTAATGCAACCAAGACTACTACTTGTTCTGCATGGTGGCAGAAGGGAGGAGAGGGTGTCCGGGCAGCACTGAGAAGCCAGTAGGGTCCAGGCAAGATCTTGGATATCACCAACATTTGCATGCTCTCTGTATAATCTTAGGGGCACAAAATCTCATAAAGGAACTGCTTTTTGCATAGCAAAGCATAGTGGGGAAACCCCAGATTTGGAGGGATTTTGTAACGCTGAGCAGCCAGGGCGAAACTACTAGAAGAGGGTAACTATGGCTGCGAAACCTGAGCTGAGTTTGCATATGATGAGCAGGTTACTCTTACGTTTTACTCAGCATGTTGGGGATTGTTTTCACTTCACAGCCATTGTGAAAGGCTGGTTTTTAGCTCTGCAGAGTCAGGCCTTCCCAAAATGACTTGCAGTGGTTGCTGGCATGCCAGAGGCAGTGATGTGTCATAACACACAGGGGCTGTGCACCCCTGGGAGGGGGGAGCTGCGTGTGTGTGACTCGGAGGCAGCGGCAGGAGAATGGTTTGCAGGTGCTGAAGCGCAACACATGCACTTTGTCTTTGGAACTGAGAATGAGAGACTGCAGAAGTGAAATGAGGCATCTCTCAAGGGAACAAACGAGCAGCCCCCAAAATGAGTGAGATTTATTCCTTCTTTGGTCCAGAGACATTTTAGCAGCAAGTCAAGGTTGTACATGCTCCTTCTTCCAGTTCTTCTCTCATCCTCTAACCCTTTTACCCCTCCCTCTCAGAAAGAGCCCCATAAACAACCATAAGAACCCCTAGTTCACTAAACCATCTTTCTGATTTCTGTCAGGAAATAGAGTTCAGGACTGGCAAGAAACTGGTTTTTTACCTAGACTTCCCAAGTCTTTGCTTAGTTTCCCTGTGCATACCGTGATGAATAAAGCTGGAGTAATTTCTTCAGTTTTCTTCTCCCACCTTTCTGTTGCCACTCTCTTATTATGCGACTACCTGTGTGGTTTTGATAAACTTAAGGTTGATCTTCACAACCCTGGATGGGAATCAGATTCCAGGTGTCTTGCACTCAGAAAAGCATCTGATGTAGCTGTGAATTAAAATTATACCTAATGTGTTGCCTGAGAAAAATGTTGTAGCTCTCCCTTTCCATTTTCCAGTCATGTTTCTTTTTACAATTATTTCCAATGACAATTGTCCCCTTGGTGTCTGTGTTATTTCTAGGCCCTTGGGATGCTGTTTTGGCACAAGCACAACATCGAGAAGTCTTTGGCAGATCTGCCAAACTTTACTCCGTTCCCAGATGAGTGGACAGTGGAAGACAAGGTCTTGTTTGAACAGGCCTTCAGTTTCCATGGGAAAACTTTTCACAGGATCCAGCAGATGGTAAGTGGTGTCACAGGAGTGGAAAAGCAGAACAGCCGGTTGGACTGTCATCCTCAGTGCTGATTGTGCTGAATGCATGTGTAATGCTCTTGGGAGAGGCCAGAGGGGATGTTAGAAGGAAAATACTACCATGAATAGAAAGAAATAATATTGTTTCCAGAGTCTCTGTAGAAGTGTTTTCCTAAAGTGCTTTACTGGTTCAGGATAGACTTCGACTGTACAATTTTTTTGGTTGGAAATTACAGTTTTCAGTCCCTTGTGTGCCATGGTAGTGTTTGTCTCAGCTGGAGTTAAGGCATGGTCTATACACACGTGCCCACACGCACACACGCAGTAAAGATCGTCTCTGTGAAAAGTTGATTTCTTTTCTTACAGCCTGCTTTTTAGGAATTAATTTTATTTAACTATGAAGTCTGTCCTAAATGTGATTTGGGACTGTCAGTGGACGCTGTGGTGGAGGTTTATACATCATTGCAAGCATTCAGTCCTTTGATTTTGGTTGGTATTGATATTGTTTTATACTGTGATTGAAAACTTCAAGGGTAGATTTCTGCCTGCAAGGGAGGTGCTAGGAGAGAGTTCAATTTTCTTTTGGAAGAGGGAGAGGATGGGATGTAAAAAAACTTTTATTAATTGTATCTTGAGAGTGTCTTCAAGTTCATTACCTGGGTGGGAACCAGACTTTGTTCTTTGCTCTACTTCATTGAAGTGCCTATCAAGTGTTCCAGCATGATGCAGTTACATTGGCTGTGACCCTTTGAAGTGAGCATAGGCTGTTGCAGTCTGTCTGTTCAGCCTCTTTAACAGCACATGTGGAGGTCTGTGTTGCTGATCTGCTGAAAAGTGAAAGCTGACTTGCTTTCCACGGATGAAGGAAAACTGCCAGATCCCTTTTTAAGAGGGAAGAACAGAAAGAGGCTCGTTCTCCTCATGTCCTCCTTGAATGTTGCTTCACTGATGTCCATTTCCAAATATTCTTGGAGTCCTAGAGTCTCCCACTCCCTTTGCTCAGGTGATAGGGCTTGCACCAACTGTGGGCAGTCTGGAGTTGTGGAACTCTTGAAGGGTGAAGCTTCTTTATTCCTCTGTTTTTATATAGGGAGAAATAAACGGGAGGAGAATGTCCTGGGGAAAAAAAGAGAACATAAAGCCCACCCTGTTGCTTGGTTAAATGCTAAAGCAAGAAATTCTCCATTTGGTTTATGTGCAGGAGCGTGGCTCTGTCCCTCAGTGAAGTGCATTCCAATACAGGGATGCCAAGCTAATGCAGTGTTCCCTTGGTAATGATACTTTTTTATTGTTGCTCCCAGGAAAGCCATGCTGCATGAAAGAAATTAAATGGCAAGAAGCTTTGTGTTTAGCAGGGGGCAGGAATCAATGGCTTGGGAGCACATTAGTTGTTGGTTTATATATGCTGCCCCATTAGCACCAATGCAGTTTGGAACTGAGGGGAGAAATCATCAAAGCCAGAGAATGAAGAACAAGTTATGTTATTTACCGAAGCTGCTTCTGATATTTTGGCACTCTTAACGTGGATTTGTAGCCAAATGGATGTTTGTCAGGAACAGCCTCGTCCCTGAGTTTGTTCTGTGGAACTCTTAATTTCAGCATACCAGCCTGTTGCGTGACTGTTGGCAACACAACGTGGACACAGCACCTGTGCTTTGCCAGCACAAATGGATTTCTGCCTGTGTGCAGCTGTGGGCCAGGGTGGTAGTTCTGGTGTGATCCCTTATTAGAACCTAAGGTCAAATCTGCAGTTTGAGAACCAGGCTTATCTCAAGTGAAGACCTAAACTGCAGTATCTGAATAAGAGGGATCTGACTCTTGCTCACAGTTTTGTTTCAGGCCCCACTTGTTCTGCTCTCCAAGCTGAATCAGACACTTCACTAAAACATGTTTTATTCACCAAGAAAGGCTGGACTTTTACCTTTTAAAAGCCCTGTATAAGAACATCCATGCAGAGTATTTCAGAAGCAGAGAATTAGTCGTAATGTAGTTGTATGCTTTTTGGAGGCAGACCTTTCATTCATAGCTGCAGGGTAATGGTATTAGTATAAGAGGACCAAAAAAAATAATTCTGAGACTTGTGTTTTTCTGTACTGTCAGTTCACCATACAGTAACATTTCACCTTTTGAAAACATCCTCTGTTGACGCCTTTGAATAGATTTCGTCATGTGAATGGTGTGAATAAACCTAGTTAACCAAACATCAAAGATGTGCTTGGGATGTTGCCTGCAATTCAGCAGTTCCTGCGGTTGTTTACATGTCTGTGTCACCTTTGAAAACTGTTATCTCAGTTTCAAGGCCTCATTTTGGATATGCTCTTGCTATGTTCCTCTACTCTGAAGGGAAGCAGCTACATGGCTGGTGAGTGGAGACTTGCTCAGGTGCTCTTCAGAGATTTTGATGTCCTAAATAGTAGGCACTAACCTGAGACACTCCCCCATAGCTCACTTTTGGAAAGGCTGCAGAACTGCCCTGCTTGAGCCTTTGAGACAATCCGACGTAGAGAGATCTGATGTTCCTTGACAAAACCAGACCAATGGTATGTGAACTCCTGGGGATACTTTACATATAAACATATAAAAGGATAAATGTTTAATTTACAGCTTCCTGACAAATCAATAGCCAGCCTGGTGAAATTTTACTACTCCTGGAAGAAGACAAGGACTAAAACTAGTGTGATGGACCGTCATGCTCGTAAACAAAAAAGGGAACGTGAGGAAAGGTAGGTTTGCAAGCAGAAAGGTTGTGTATTGCCACACACTGGTTTCTTTAGACTATCCCAGAGATTCCTGTTAGCTTGTAAGAAACTAGATGTAGGATTTTCCCCAAAATGTTTCCTGGTACCACACCTATCCCCACCCCTCTTCCCTGCTATGCATATTTTGCTTTGCTTAAAGCCAATCTCTTGGCAATTAGGTGTGCTCCCTTTTTCAACACTGTGCAGTTTCTGATTGCCCTCTAATGCACTGGTTACCGTCCCATCGTTCTAGAACCTTTTCTCTAATACTGCTTGAGGGTGGAGAAAATGAAATTAGAACTGTTTACAGTCTGATTGCACTGTTGTCAGCAGAGCCAGAGATAAGCAGGAGGTAAAAGGAAGTAATGAAAGAGCTAGAAATCTGCCTTTATTTCCTCTCTGTGATTCTCAGCAGAGTGAGAATGTGCACCTGATATGGGGAACAGGGTCCAGTGCAGGACCCCTCTCCCATGTGTGTATGCACACAGACCCTCCCCTGCCTCTTAGAAAACTGTAACCAGTGTAAGGCTGTCAGCCAATCTGTTCCCTGAGAAAGGTGAAGGTAAGGCTCTGTTTTTGAGTGACTGCGAAGAGGGTAGCAGAGGGCAACTCAGGATGAGCTCTCTGGCAGAGGTGTCCCAAAGAGTGCTGGGTGCGTTAGGATTTGAGTGAGGCTGGTGGTGTTCCAGAGGTCACCAGCTACTGAGATTTAGCAGATGAGCTTGACTCCTGCTTTTCCTGTAAGTTGACCCTCCTGGATAACCATGGAAGCCCTTGAAGGTAAAGCAGCCAGTGGCCTTGTGTGTATTGCTGTAAATGTCTGTACAGTTGGAACTGCCACTTGGTGACTTTGACTGGTTCTGGAGCTGACAGAGCCTCAGAAATGCAGAGGCCTCAGGTGTCTGGGGGGAAAGTAACCCCTCTGAACAGCAGCAACTTCATCTGCTTGATGCAAGTGCCTCCTCAGCCTGCTCTAAAATGCAGTTAATGTCTTTGCAGACCAAACTTGAGGTGTAACTGGCTTTGAAGACTTCTAATATAATTGGGTCAAAATTCTACATAAGTTTTTCTCTTGAAGGAGTTGCACTTCCCAAGGAGCTCCTTGTTGGCTCCAGTGTGTATGAGCAAACTCTGTTGGGAAGGGGGAAGAAATGTGTTTCTAGGGTCGAGCTGTTCTACACCAGTGACTCACTCAACCTCTCCCATCTCTCCATTTGGTCAACAATACTTGCTTAAAGGGCAGGGCCAGGGAGAATACTGCCAGCCAACTTGTCTGGTATTTGGTTGGCTTCCTTTGACTTGAGTCTCTTCTTCCACTCTGCTCCTTTCTTTTCTCTGCAAAGGCTGTCTATTTTTCTTCTCCCCATCCTGATGGATTTTATTATTTATTTATTTATTTATTTATTTATTCTGGTTTGGTTTTAATTTTCCTACTAATTTATGGGGGCACGGAATCTTTTATAAGGAGTATGTGTTTGTCTCATACTATGTAGTTTAGGGTCTTTTAATACTACCTCCTCTATTTTTGTTCTGTGCTCATAAATGAAATTACTGCTATTCGGAAACCTACCTCTCAGGTACCTATGCCTGTTTGGTAGGAAAAGCAGCACCTCAGACCATCTGGTGATCGGGACAGAACTGTATGAGCTGCCATGTGCTGCAATTTTGTAACCTTTGAGGAAGGCAGCTGGATTGAAAATGCATAATTTAGTTTACATCTGCAGCAAGCTGAGCACCAGGCCATCAGCTCGATTTTTGATTTCCATTCTTCCTCTCCGTTACATAAAACAGTCAAACCCTACACCCCCAAAGGATTTGTCAGTGCAGCCATGTGGGGTGTGGAATCCACACTGGGTGAGTTTAGGGTGCCTGGATTTTCAGGTTGTGCTGTGCCATTTGGTGCTGAATGCTGAATGCCATTCGGCAGAACTACTGAAGTGCTCCTCGGTTATAGTGATCAGTGTCTAAAACTGCAGAAATGAGTGGGTGAGTTTTGATCTAGCTCATGTCTAGAGAACATGCTGGAATACAGGATCAAACTATCAGCACAGCAAAGGCTGTGGGAGTTGGCTGTTGTGGAAAGGCTGAAATCTGAACCTAGGTGAAAACATAAGGAAGTTCTTTCAGAGATGGGGTTAAGAGAAGAGGCAGTCTGAGGTATCTCACTCAAATACCTCTATTTCTTTTGTAGCTAGGCAGGGAGATTCCCCAACTCCTCAGGTTATCGCTAAAGTAACTCCCAGTGCATTCAGAACCAGGTTTTCAGTAGCTGTTCTTAGTAGTGTGTGAGGGGCTTTGTGTATTCAGCTCTGGGAGGGGATGCTTGGGAGTTTATTCCCTGGAATCGTGATTTCACAGGACATTTAGTCTGAGTATCAGCTGGTGAGCCAGGCAGCTTGGGAGAGCAGAAGTGGCTTGAACAAGTGATTGCTCTTGTGGAGATGGATGCCAGCCCAAGCCACCTGGCAGTCCCTTCCTCCTTGGGATGTGGCTGCAACAGGGAGCTGGCCACAAGCTGTACCCTGTTGGCCCCAGCACTAGTACAACTCTGCCCTGCACTGAAGCTGTGACATACCTGCACCAGCTAATGGTTCCTCGGCCCGGGCTATAAAGTTTGACTTGACAAAATAGGTTTATTTTTTTGATTAAAAAAAAAAAAATATAATCAGCTTGGATTAGATCAGCTTATTTCTTCTGTTTCTGGGCATCATCTCAAATGGTGCAATTAACTTTAGTTGTGTACAGTACAAAAATTCTAAATGGTGGAAATACATTTGATTTAATGTCTGATTAAGATTCCAATGAAGCTAAACTGGACAGGTGTGCCAAGGTCACTTTCAATATGGCCCAAATTTCACATCTATTATTATTCTGTAACTGATAGTCTTTTTCTTTTCCAAGGGAAAATAAAATGTAAATCTGTCACTGAAAAAAAAAACAAAACAACCAAACATTTTTTGTGCTTGTTCATGAGAGAGCTCATCTTGTGCATGTCTGTTTTGCTAAAAGTTAAGGAGTTCTATGAAATGCGAGTTTTAGCTACTTGCTGTATTTCTCAGTCTTTCTGTCAGTTTACCTAAAGTTAAAATGCTTGGTGTCCCATGTTCTTTAAAAGATAACTTGTGGAATTAATTTCATGTCCCTGTGCAGACTTACTTTGCCCAAGTACACTGCTAAGAAGTTTTCCTGTATGTACTATCTTCACAATTAAGAATTTACTGACTTTAACAAAACCCAAAGAAACCTGCAACCCCCTAAGAAAACCCACATCCTGGGAATAAAACTAAGGAAAGCTGTTGGACTTGATATTGCATCCATGCATTTGTTTTAGCATGCTATTTATAGAAGAAAAGTCTCACAAACTAATACAGTAATGTTTGCTTTTGTCTTCCAGTGAGGATGAAATGGAGGAAGCAAATGGAAATAACCCTATTGACATTGAAGTTGAACAAAACAAGGAAAGCAAAAAGGAGGTATAATTCTTTTTCTTATTTCTGTACAAATGAAAGTGTTTACTTACTAGCTACTTCATGTAGAAGCTGACAGTATGTAATTTTCTTTTTGTGCTTTGTATAGTTGTCATACAAGAAAAGAATTGTCTTCAGAATTATTCTTAGATCAAGACAAGTATAGATAAGTTGTTATGGATGGAACTGGGAAAATTTCAGACTTTACCATCCCATGATAATGTAGTCTGTGATTGTTTCTCATCTCTTTGATTCTCTCTTTGGGTGTGTGAGCTTAAACCGCCTTCAGTGATGGTTTAAATCAACCTAACTGCGTGGAGATGGAGTGGACGCACATCTCCCCATTAAGATGGCTTGGGAGGGGAAATACATCCTTTTGCTCTAGGTAGACCATCAGGAGCATGTTTATCTACAGCTTAGCTTCTGAGGTAAATTGGTGATGTACTGAAATTCCCAGCAGTAGTTGTGAGGATTTCAGTGGCACCAGGATTGCAACTCCATTGGTGAAAAGGAAGGGAGAAAGCTTTTATGACCAGTTCAATTTGTGTGGCAGAGGGGCCTTAACCTGTTATGTGCAGAATATTTTGTCTACTTAAAATGTAGTACTTGCGTCTCACTTCAACTGCTTCATTTTAAGTGGGAATAGACTTCTGGATAAAAATAGCCACGCAGATACAACAGTTTGGAAAACCTAGTCTGTGATGCCTAACAAGAAGGCGCATACTTCATGTGTATAACCTGCAGGTCATCTGCTACTAAATAAAAGCACCTTGCTTTTCAGCAGCAGCGTGGGTTGTATGTGTGAGTGACAAAGATGCTTACCCTAAAGCCTTCCCTCCTTGAAGTAGTTTCCTTTCCTGATTTCTTGTAGCCTAATTTCTCTCCCACAGACATTCTATTTAATTTTTTTAAATTCCTTTAAAGGTTATATGTAGGGAAAATCCACTATAAATATTTAAAAACATGATCTAACTGAGGCAAAAACAAAGTCCTAGAGCAACTGTTTTGTCAGCCACTGTCAGTGAGAATAATTTCTCCAAAAAATTATTTTTAATGGAAATAACTGAAAAATCGCAACATTCCCATCTGTTCTTTGCCCATGCCAGGGTGCTCTCTAGACTTTCTAGAAAAGCCTAACTGTTGCTTCCACTGAAAGGACCAGCACCCTTGATGTCTTTTTTAGGAGCAGAGTGGATGTGAAGTCATTTGTCTTCATCCTTACAAGAAACTTGAGTTCTCAGAAGCTTCAGCAACAGCCTAACAGGAAGGGTTCTCACTTGGCTAAGTTGCAGCTACATACTGCAGCTCTCCAGTGTCTTGTAAATAATAGTATTGTCTTATTTCTCATTATTTTAATAAATTTTCAAGTTTAGATTTCTTTGTAAGCTCTTTGAAAGCCTGCATCTGTAAAAAAGCTCCCTTCTATCGCCTCTGTTATTGCTTCCTTCCCTGCCGAAGCTGACGTGCTCTGAATTTGCTGTGGAAGAGGGAAAGGTAGTTCTTTGCCAACTTTCTGTTGTAAGGCCAAACTAGATCAGATGTCTGATAGTTACCATTAAGGCATTTTTGTAGAAAATCTTGTGTGGGAGGAGGCTGTGTGCCCTCCCTGTGACACTGGTGCAGGCTATGGCACTCCTGCTGATCTGAAACTCGTGCAGCACGTGCAGTCTGGCTGTGTGTGCAGTGTCGGGCAGCTTTGCAGGGGCTCTTCTGGACAGGGATTGTACTGGGGGGCAAAATGAAGCTGACAGCCTTTCATAACCTGTTCAGAGGTTAGCTGGGGTTGTTTAGCCTGGAGAACAGGAGGCTTGTGGGAGACCTTATCACACTCTACAGCTACCTGAAAGGAGGTTTTAGCAAGATGGGGGTTGGCCTCTTCTCCCAGGCAACTAGTGACAGGGCAAGAGGACATAGCCTCAAGCTGTGCCAGGGGAGGTTCAGGCTGGACATCAGGAAGAATGTTTTCAGTGAAAAGGTTGCTAAGGGTTGCCCAGGGAGGTAGTGGAGTCACCAGCCCTGGAGGTGTTTAAGAAACTACTGGATGTGGCTCGTAGTGTTATGGTTTAGTTGGCATGGTAGTGCTTGGTCAAACGTTGGACTTGAAGATCCTGGAGGTCTTTTCCAGATTTAATGATCTTATGATTCTGATTTACAGTACCTGCACCTGGGGCTGATGGAAATGCCTTAAGAGAGAGAGAGCAGGTATCCAGGAGGGGACAATAAAGTCATTCTTGATCATTGTGTTTCTTTTAATGATGTTGTCAGATGTGCAAGGCTGGTGATGTGTCAGCAGCTCAGCACTCTTACCGTAAAGAACCTCCCTGTCCCAACCGCGCAGAGGTGTTTTTTTGGGCTCTGAGACATGTTGGTTACTATCTGACTTGCCCAGTAATACTGGGATTTCTCAGAGTATCTGAAATCTCTCATCTGTTTCCTCTTTTGGGGATCACTGGAAGGGGAATCTTCCCTTTTTACTTTCAGTGTTAGTTCAACTGTTTGGGTTTCCTCAGATAGTGACTCTGTAATACTGAGGTCATGACCTAGAGCTGCTTTCTCTGTATCTTCCCTGTTCCAGGAAATGCCTCCCATTTCATCCTCTGCTTTTACGTGGCTTCAGATAGCTTGGCCTTTTCTTCTTACAGAGTGAAATCTCAGGGAGGGAACTTTGTATTAAGGGGTTTGTAAGACTGAAGTGCACTGGATAGCAGTGGCAATACCTAAATAAACAGAGGAGCACTGTTAAATCCCTGCATCTTAATTCTCTCTGGTTTTCATGAATTTATGTGTGTGGCCAGGAAAGCAAGAGTTTCCAAGACATTTTAGATGTTCAAATTTTTGCGGGGGCCTAAAGGCATTTGGAGCCATCAAAAACTGTTCTGCTGGAGGTCTGGCTTCTTGTCCTCAACACAAAAGAGCTTTGCATTTTTTGAACTGTGTAAAACAGTAATATAAAAATGCTTTCATTTTTCCTTAATGCTGAGGCTTCTAGGATGTTTGCACTGCGGGAATTGCATGTTGGTCAACTTACAGCCTGAACCTGTAGTGAGGTATTGCTGTGTGGTCCTGTGAAGTTGTGTATGCAAATGAAATAGGAGTAGATCTGAAATGCCTATCCATGCTAAATAATTTACCTGACTGAGTTATCAAAGTGCTTACTTCTGAAGCAGAGTGCAGAGCTTACCTCACTTGCTCATAGCTAAACCAGTTTGCTTTCCCCTGCTCACCACTCCCTTCTGCAAAAAGAAATAGGGATATCCATCCTGCCACGGCAATAGTTACCTCTTGCTTCTGGGCTTGCCTTAGGCATCGGATCTCATGGAATACGTTGCACTAATCAGTGGAAGAAAAAGGTTGAGAACAGGCAGTTGTCCACATTACTGCTGTTATGTGGCTCTGGCCACTGTGCCCATGAAAAGGGTGCAAGCTTTTGTCTGCTGACAGCTATGCTGGAGTCCTCTGGTCTTTGGGAGTCAGAACCTTATGCTTACATGGAGTTTGTCCTCAGCCTTGTGTGGTTTCAAATGCGAGCATTTAATGCTCACTAATGAGCAAATGTCACAAACTCTGTAGAAACTGCATGTAGCTGCAAATTAGGAGGGAAACAATAGCTCTAAATGAAGCCAATGTGTTTAAAGCTGGCAGTGATTAAGTAGAGGATTCAGCCTCCCCTCTCTGCTTTTTCTTTCTCTGCCATCCTTCTTCTGTTCTGTGTTCTTGGCCAGGCTCCAGTCACTGGGTAGTAAATCTTAGTTATGAGTTGCTTGTTGAACATAACTTCTGGAAGAAATGGTTTTGGTTTTTCGAATCAGATGTGCTTTTGAAGGATCTGTAGTGTAGTGTCCTGGCTAATCTGCCTGTTAGAGGTGTGTGCTAAATTCTTTGCTTTAAATGTAAGGGATAAAAATAATAAGTGGTCTGTGAAATACTTGCTTTTTCAAAAGAGACCTAAATTTTATTTTAGGCAAAACTACATCAGTTTAATGGAACAGTTGATATACAAGTGCTATGCAAGAAAACTTGGTTTCCAAGGAATGGTGTAACAATCTAAGAATTACTCTGTAGTCATCTCACTCCTTTGTCCTTCGCCTTTAAATAAATTTGGTTTATTCCTTCTCCTGTCTGACTTGTAATAAAACACAAGTCTCAGTAAACTGTTCTAGTTGTGTTCTTCCCCTCTCTGCAAACTCCACTTTGTTTCATTCTGGTATTCAGTTAAAATGGTGTGTTCAGACCTGCTGATGAAAGCAAAAAGAGAGCTTTTGGAGGTTTCAAAATAAGCAGAAAATTTAACTGCTGCAAAATTAGGCATCTGTCTCCCAAAATGAGAATGGGCAGAGAAAACAACCAGGATCTCTGTAAATACTGAAAGCTGCCTGGAAGAAAGGAGAGATTTGTACAAGAGAGTGTTTGTATGACATGCCACTTAAAGCAAGAAATATCTTCCTGTCTGCAAAGTAGCTTTGTTGTTCTCCAGTCTTTGATGGCTAAAAGTCGTAGAATCCCAGGATGGGTTGAGCTGGAAGGGACCTTTAAAGATCATCTAGTTTTGTAAAGTGACTGCTGTTTGCCAGGTGCCGCCTGCTGAAACTGTCCCTCAGGTGAAGAAGGAGAAGCACAGTACGCAGGCCAAAAACAGAGCGAAGAGGAAACCTCCCAAAGGAATGTTCCTTTCCCAGGAAGATGTGGAGGCTGTTTCTGCCAACGCAACAGCTGCTACCACTGTACTCAGACAACTGGACATGGAATTAGTCTCAATCAAACGACAGGTATGGATGGGATATGGACGGGCTGGTTTTGGTGGTAATGCCTGTTTCAGTCTGCGAAGCTGGCAGGAATTTGTAGCTTGGGCAGTGATGATGTGCGTTGTTACCTGGCTTAGCTGACAAGCTGCTAGTTCTGTGCTCTGAACTAATGCAGCCCTGGGTTTTACATCTCATGTTGTAGTTCTTTGGACAAGCCTACTTTATACCTAAAAGCAAGGAAAAGTTCACAGCAGGGACTTAAAGGAATACTTGTTGGCACTTGCTGTTTCTTGCAGTTGAGAGTTCCTTTGGTTTAACTGTGAACTTTGCTCAGGTGACATTGGTTTCAGCAGTATCCTATTTCCATCTGCAGCAACTGGTTTCCTTTTGCTTTTTCATATGGTACTTTTAGAGGAGGCAGATATTTTTGGTTTAGTCTTTCTTAGACAAGCATCATACAAACTTTCCTGTGTACCTTTTGCTTCTCTCATGGATCTGCCTTTTAAACAAATGTTTTTCAAATATCTGTGATTAAAGACAGGTTTACTACATGAGTCTGTTGCCTAGATCTGAGCATTTTTGCTCTTTCTAAAGCAGAGATCTGTCTCAAGCTCTTTATTAAACTTTATAGAATTGGTATTTTGGCCTGAAGCCTTTTTTTGGCACTCTGGGAGAAGTGAAGCTCTCTAGCCGTCTTTGATTCATTACTTGCTGCAAACGGGGTCTTTCTTCTCATGCTGGTCTTTATACAGACCTCAAAGTTGGGACGGTTCTTGCTCCAAATAACTTACAGACAGCAGAGAATAAATTAAATGGGATCTCCGGATTCACCAGCTGCTCCTGCATTCCACACACTTCCTTTTGGAAAAGGGAGGCTGTGAGAAAGGCTGGAAGGCTGAGCTTGGGGGATTCCTGCTGAGGCTGCTAGCAAAAAGGCTTGTCCAAAGATATGTTTTTATCCTTTTTAAAGAAATGAAACTTTCTTTTCAGATTCAGAATATCAAACAGACAAACAGCGCACTCAAAGAAAAACTTGAAGGTGGTATAGAACAATACAGACTTCCAGAGGTAAGATCATTTTCTGACCCTTGTTTATTGTGAAAATAAATGCTAATCTGTTTACATACCACGGCTGTTGGTTTCCAGTAAACTAGGACCGATGTCCTACTGGTTGTCAGTGTGACTCAGGTCCTTTACCATATTCACTGATGTGTAATGAAAATGGGAGATGAGAAGAAAGTAAGAGCAGTGTTTAAGTTGAAACTTGTGAAAGTTGCTTCTTACAGAAGTACAGGTATCCCAGATAGATCATGTTTTGTCAGTGCTATATCTATATGCCCTTGTGAGAGAGGCAGTTGCTTTGCTCTAAATGCTGAGAAATGTGGGAGAGGATATTAATGGCCCACCTTTCTCTTGGCACTTGGGGCTTTTGCTGTTTTCCTTCCAATGCTGGTACCTCATGCTGGAAGTAATTTGGCCAAGATTACAGAAGGTGTCTGTGATAAAAACAAGTAGGTGCTTTGGAAGAATGTGGCTCTTGGTTTTCTGCTCAGATCCTTCCCTATCTTCTTTTGTTACCATGACTTACAGGCACACTGTATGTCACAGTTAACTGAATGGATGCCATATGCAGTTCTTTATGCTGAAAATGTCATTACTACTAAAGGAATGATGTACATTGACCAACAGTTCTTTTTTGCACTTTTGAGAGGTTTTTAAGAGCTCAGATACAAGTGAAAGTACATAAGTGAAGTTACCTAATATTTTTTTTTTTTTTTTGCTGTCTAGGTCGTCCAGAAATTTAATGCACGTTGGACCACAGATGAGCAGCTTCTTGCTGTGCAAGGTATGGCACTACAAGTTTATTTGTACTTCATTTGTTGATAGTCAAAACTTTGCTGCATTTCAGGGCTGAGTTTCTCTTCAGTGGCTAATGAAGGATTTTGACATTGCTGTGTACTAATGCACCAAGAATGTATTTGAACAAGGGAAAAATATTCCCCCTTCCCTCCCTGGGCAGTATAAATTTCATCTTATGAATATTTGCAAATAATGTCTGCTTGTCTAAGCTTTCAGAAAATGAAACTCTGCTGGAACCACTGCTATGCTGGTTTTTTCTGTAACTTTTCAATAGTACAGGCAGATTTACACAGGTCTTGTAGATTTGACCCTGCCCATTTTTTACTACACCTTTATTTTCTTTTCTCCAGGGCTGGTCTTAGCTGTGTCTCTTGCCCCATACAGACTTCTTTTTTTTTTCCTGGATTAATCTGAAAAAGGCTTGAAACCTTGACAGAGGTTCAGTTTTGGATCCTTGTGCTGTGACTTGAGCCTGATTTGTGGTCATAGTGGAAATAACACATTGCTTTTGTTTTTCTTTTTGTCGCTTTTAGCAATCAGAAAATACGGCCGAGACTTTCAGGCAATCTCTGATGTGATTGGAAACAAATCTGTGGTGCAAGTGAAAAACTTTTTTGTAAATTATCGACGTCGTTTCAACATAGATGAAGTCTTACAGGAGTGGGAGGCAGAGCATGGCAAAGAGGAGACAAATGGAACCAATAGCCAGAAGCCTGTAAAATCCCCCGATAATTCCACTAAGATGTCTGAAGAGGAAGATGAGGTAAATTCAGTTTAAAAGTAATTTTAAATTACATTCCCAGTCTGAGCTCAGTTCAGATAGATGTGTGTGTGTGTGTATATATATATATACACATTGTCTTTGCAAAAGCCATTTTTTACAATCTTCAATCTGAGCATATTTCACTTCCTCTGGATATACACATTCCAGTACTGATTTCGAGAATTGGGAATTCCAGGCGTGTATGAAAGTGGAAAGAGAACAGTTAGTTTGCAGCCCTCTGACAGTATCTGTATCTCATCAGAACAAGGATGTTTTAATGCCTCTTGCTGCCGAAGCCCCATATATCTTTATCTCACTTGGATGTTTTCCCTGCACTCAGTTCTCCCAACTGTTCTAGGTTTGGCTTTGTGGGACCCTACAGTCTTCTGAGCCAAAACTGGCTCTTTCATTTTGGATGATTGAATGGCTTCACTCGAGGGAAGGGAGGGAAGCTATAAACAAGACGAGTGTGTGAAACTGTTCACTCTGGAATTACCTAAAGGCCGAGTTTCCTTGATTTTCACAGCAGTTTCTGTGCAGACAGACATTCTAGAAACAGTCTCTCCATGATGGAGCTTCATGGAGTTAACATTCTCCAGAGGCCATGTATGTTTAAAGTTAACTAAGGGACTGCAGAATGTTTAAATATGAAAGTGAGTTACAAAAATGTAGTATTAACACAGTCTTGCAAAGGAAAACCCCAGTAGAGGTTTGCATGTTAAAAATGTCAAGGACTTTGGCCTAATTTGTAAGACAGCTTGGTGCTGTGTCTTCTAAATGCAAGCACAGCAGCATAGGGCAAATTTTGGACTAAAGACTTCTCAGTGTACTATATATCTTTGTTGATCTGATTAAGGTTGGGTTACCCATACCTTGTCTTTCAGACATTCCAGAAACAGAACTCCACTGCTTCACAAATCCTAATAACATGTAATTCAAAGATGCTTATGTTTGGGAACTAGATCCAAAGGTATGACAGATAAATAAAACCAAACTCAGAAAATTTGCCTTCTCAGGAGGATGTGAGTGAAATTGTTCCATTCTTCCAGAACTGAGATTTAGAGCAAAGAAGCAATGGTACTAGTATGTAGCCACCAATTTGAAAGATAGGTGGCTCATGTCACTGCATTTTTCTGTGACCAATAGAGCTGTATCTGTTGGCAATGCAGAGCTTTTCTTGTCTGAGCCCTCTGAGATTCTCCCTAGCTTCAAATACACCCTTGTTCCTGAAAGTTGAGGTCAAAACAGTGAAATCTTGCCTGACATAGGAAAAAATGGCTGCAGCAGGAACTGGAGTGGGCTGATGTGGCCAAGTGTGGGTAGTGGAGCAATGAGGATCCCAAACAAGTTAGCAGAGGAGGAACAGGGAGAGAGGAGGCATGACAGAAAGGTCTGGTAAAATTACTGCTAGAGCAGCAGTTGTGATCCCTGAAACTAGTGATGGAAAGTGCCCATTCTGGAGCAGAACAAGTGCTGAGTGGTGGGAACTGGACCAAAACAACAATCTGGTGGAAATGGTTGCAAAGCCTGGAAAAAGGGCAGCTGTTATGAGAGTCAGGTGGGTCAGTGCCCTGCAATACTGTGGGGATGAGGGCAGAGCCTGCCTGCAGCAGGGTGATAGACAGGAGCCAGGCAGGGTGGCAGTGAGCTGCCAGCTGTGACAGACTGTATATGCCTAGCCCTGTGGGGCTTCTGGGTCTTGACGAGGCCTGTTGTGGACAGTAGGAGAACTGGTATGTCATGGCAGGCAGCATGGAGGAGATTTTAACTACTAAGCCTGCAGTTCTTTATAAAAACACATATGGAAGGGACACAAAGCTGTCCCACAGTGGGTATCCAGTGGCCACCATGCTCTCTGAGCACATCAAACCTTGCCTCTCAGGCTGACTGTAAATGTGGTGCTCCTGCCTTCAGAGGTAATGTAAGCACTGTGCTGAGTGCCCCACAGTTCTGGGGGCAAAGTGACATGTCATTGGGATTATCCTATAAGTGATCTGTGGGCTAGGAGCGGGTTTCCTGAGCTGCACAGTACTGTGTGGCTGATTCCTGCTCCTGAGGGCACTTACATGGGTGGTGTCTGGTCAAGTCAGGGGTCTCTGCAGCAGCCAGGAGAAGGCTTTGCTGGCCTAACACTGAAGTCCCTCGGGTGCTTTCTCCCCTGGCATGCCTTGGGTGTCTGGCCACCAGCCTAGTGAAAGCTTCATCAGCCCTCTGAGGGCTGTGGGCTTTTCCACAGCAAGTGGCCACAGTTCCCCGGTTTTTGAAGGAGGGAGGTAAGACTGCTGATTATAAAGCAGCCTCAACTCTTGTCTTAATTTCTGTATGTTTACATTCCCAACAACAAATCCCAGTGTGCCTCAAAACATGGAAAGCTGCTGTGATTCTTCCTGTGTGCCAGGGTTGTCTGTTTAGTTGCTTTTAGTACCATGGATCTGGGGTGAAGTTTGGAGATGCAAGAAAGCCTGTGTGTATTCATTTTAAACTAAACATCTCCTTTTTCTCCCCCCCTTCCCTCCAGGCTACTTCTGTTCTTGATGTCAGATATGCATCTGCTTCGTGAGAAGGTGCTGTAGCCTAGAACAATTTGTGTTGACTACTGTGTTATCCAGGATATCAGGTATTAGCAAACCTCAGACAGCCATCTGCATCATATCTGTGGACAAGCAGCTATTACCAAAAAAAAAAAAAAAAGGCAAACGCTTCCAGTCCTGTGCTACATCTGCCTTAATCTCCCCTCATTCCTCCATACTGCCTCCACTTTCTTTCAAAAGCACCCAGGTAGCTCAGCTCTCCATTTCATCAGCATCATGCTTAAGCATGGGGACTTCTAGAACCAGTCACACCTGTCTATAAATTTTTGACCAACCTGCAAAACAAGGAGCTCCTTAGCAGCCCCACAGTAACTCTACACATTAGGAGTTCTTATAATACTTGGTCCATAGGGTATAAGTATGTATTGCTGCATGGCCTTGTGGTCTCCGCTTCCTGTGTATTCTTACGATGACACTATTATTAGTGAGCTTTCTATAAAGGAGAGGCCTGTGCACATGCCAGCAGTGTCAGGTTTGTTCTGCCATGACAGGACATGTTAACAAGCAATCTTGAATAATGCAGAGTGATAGGAAAAGTGATTTCTAAGGTTTGGTCAGTCCAAGGTTGTAGATGTAACTCATTACACTTCTGGTTTGTGCAATTCCTTCCACTGTATTTGTGTGTTCTTGCTTCATAGAAAGCTCCCTAATTGAGCATTTTATTCCTGTATATTTTAATGGCTTTTATTTAGTGCAAAAGGGAATACGTAACCTGAAACTGTTTGATACGCTATTTAACCCCTGGCATTCAGCATTTGCATTGTAACTTGTTAAATGAGTGCTACACAACTTTCTTTTTCCTGATCCTCTGCGGGATTAAGTCAAAACAAACTTTCTCTGGTGCCTCTCCTTTGGGGAATATGTGCCTTTTTACATTTGGCTACCATAGGTCACTTTCTGTCCCAGTGTCTCATTTCTCTTCAGAGCGCTGTTTGCCAAAGACATCAAACTGCTTCTCCCACTGGAAGTCTGGACGAGGGTTGGAGCACAAAATTCAACCTTCAGGAGTTTTTGGTCACTTGGAAGTTTAATGGAGAAGAACCAGGTTAATTTTCATTGGCCATTTTAACCCTTCTGAAGCACACATCGCTTTCATGTTCTGAACCAAAATATGCAATTTAAAATCTAAGAGGTGCTTTTCCAAATACTTGGTGCATGCAGCTTTCAAATCCCAGCCCTCTGCTCGGATGACCTGTGCTGTGGCCTATCTACCTGGCTTGAACTGGAGCTGTTCTTGGAAGTCCTGTGTGAGGACTTTGCACCTTGAACAAGGTAGTTGCTGACTGCCGAGCAGACAGTGTTCAGAGAAGCTAGAAAAGCAGCATTATTACTTCTTGTCCAGTGGAAAGCTGCAAAATAACACTAGTCACGAAGCATTTAAAAATGGTTAATTTAATGATGTTGAAAGAAACCACCAGGTGTCTTTGCAGGTGGAAAAAAGGACCTTCTTTGCCCCTCTTCCTCTGCAGAGGGTTTAAGCCAAGATGGCACACAGTGATGGGCACAGCACCGGCCTTTCTTAACACAACCTGAAAGGAGCTAGTCGGTGGCCTGGCCTGCAGCTGAGGTGCTGCAGCTCATAGTTGAGCCCCGTCCTTGGTGCTGATGTAGCTGCTGGGCTGTGCCATGTTGTGTGCTGTAAGTGGCTCTGCCCTCTGTACCTGAGCGAGGCAGGATGACGCCAGCTGGGTAATAGAGCCAGCTCTGTGCACCTCCTGCAGTGTGGACACAGCCCAAGGAAAGCCCTTCCCCTTGGGCCTCGTGTGAGGAGAGTGATTCAACACCAGAAACTGAGCAACGACACGCAGGCACAGAGCAGGTAGGGATTTCCTAGGGCAAGCTGGAGCCCAAAAAGGGCCTGTTTCAGAAACTTGGCAGCTGTTTCTGAGCAGTTCCATTCTAGTAGCTCCAGAGAGATCCTACAAGGTGATGGGAGGATGGAAGGGAGCTGTTCCCTATCCTTTGTATTGATGTTTGTGTCTCTACAGCTGTTGCTGTGAACTGGCAGCTCTGATCATGGCTCAGATGTTCCTTCAGACCTGTGCCAGTTGGAGTTGGGAGTCTCCTGTGGGAAAGGATGGTAGTAGTCAGCCAGTGTGTGAATTAGGATTAAAGACCGGGCAAATAGCACTGTGAATCCAGTTGACAGTTGTGTAAAGCAATGCTGCTCATTAGAAACACTCAAGTATTAAACCTCCTGCTGGTACCAATGCATGGAGACAGGTCCTCACCAGTGTGGGAATGCTGTGGGAACCTGCATCCCAGCTGGGGGGGCTCGTCAGGAGAGGCTTCTTCTGGAGAGTTAGTTACCTGTGAGGACTTTCCATCGGTTCTTGCCCTCAAATCTGTCCATCTTATGATCAGAAAAGTTGTGTTTTGGCTTCATCCCCAAGGGGTAGGGGGAAACATGTATAATTCGTGCTATTAGGAAGAAAAAAGTTGTTTAATTACTTTTCAGTTGACTGCTATCTTATTGTAGTTGATACATGCAATATAATAGCACTGTATTTTAAACGTTTAGTTTTTTATGTTCTCTTGAACTATATTTTTAAATGCGATAAAATCATTTTAGCTTTTGAAATGGTTTGATCTTGTTTAGGTGAAGACCCTGTTTTTCTTTTTTTAAATGGGTCAAGCATTAGAAACATCAACTGGTTGCATTCTGACTAGAAGGGTCCACAAAGATAACTGCATAAGATAGAATATTCACTTAAATTTTGTTTCTTAAACTATCAATGTGAATGTCATAATTATATATATTTTGTGGAAAACGGGAAATTATTTCTCCTAAGTATAAGTTATTGTGCAAAATATGGTATCGTTAAAGAAAATGATAGTTTAAGTTTTAGTTTTAGAAATCTTAAAGATATAAAAGTGTATTGCATATGCATAAACAAATTTCATTTGTTCTATTTAATTTTTATGTAGTTGTGTAAAGTGCTAGGTAACTTCTTTTTTTCACTTATCCATTAAAACAACCTTGTTACTTGAATATTCATGTTTAACTGGTTTGAAACAGTGATCAATTTTTGTAATATAATCTTATAACCAAGGGAAAAAAAAACACGCCTCAGTTGTGCTTAACATTGTACAATCAGATGCTTAAGACCATAGTAGCCATAACTGGTAATGCAACCACAATGGTTGTGTCTCGAAATATTTAATACCAATGGGGATAATGGTTTCTTAATATATTTTTACAAGTTTGCAACCAGGAAGACCCCATGAATATCCACTAGAACACTTTTTTAATAGTTAAAAGTAAGAGTGAAACTCTTACTCTCTTAAAGCAATGTCCTGACAAACATTTTTCTTTCCTGTACAAATACATCAGAAACATTATGTATTAAAATATGCTCATTGTCACTTTAAATTTCAGTTTTTATTCTCTGAAATCGCTAATATGCTGTTGGTATTCTTGCACACCAAATATGAGCCAAACAGTGCATTACACTAACTCGATCACTGGATTTGTGGAAAAAAAAAAAAAAAAAAAAAAATCTCCAAGTCAATGAAATGCAAAAATACCATAGGAGATTTCTTTTGATAATGCGTGTTTTTCCAATTGGTATAAAGTTGTGCACAGCCCATTCAACGATGAGTGGCCTGATACTTACTCTCTGGAGAAAAAAAAAAAAAAAAAGAGAAAAATGATTTTATTAGCTCCAGCTTGTCTTCAGCAAGTAAAAATCTAGTGATCTTGTGCAATGCCCCTAAAGCAAATACTTTCTGCCACTCCCTGGATTAATGCAGCTTTTCCTGTTGATAGTAAAGCACAATTGCAGTGAAAGTTACAGTTCAGAAGATGGAAGGTCAGTATAGTCTATGCATGTTGTATAATAATGAGTGTTTACATTCATATTCTCCTAAAATAAGATTTATACTGGAGTGTATAGTATTCCATTATGTAGATTTTATCAATTTTGTTAACTGCTTATAGATTGCTTAAAAGAAGTTTTTTCAAGATTTTAAAAGATGTATAAGGTTAAGTTTGCAAATATAATGGAAATGCTGTATAGCTTTTGAAGTGATGAAATACTCGTTGGGATTTTAAAGAAAGTATGTTGTAATAATGCTGTTGTAAGTAATATTTTAAATGTCTTTTTTGCCTGTTTTCTATTATTCAGCACACTTACTGTGATGAATGTTCATAGCATTATAAAATTGCTTAGCCACTGAAAAGTAACATTTGGTTTTGGATTATTTTACTGTATGAGGAATTATAGTGGGGTAAATTCCTTTGTGAAATTCTACATAATTCATTTTTCTATGATTTCCAATGTTTGCTGACATCAAATAAAAATTTTTCAAGCCATTGATGTAATAAAATGTGTAGTAAAATGTTATTGACGTAAAGTGTGGTTCTGATGTGTAATTGACCCCCCTTACCTTTCAGATTTTGGTCAGGAGATGCAACTGGGGCTTGCCCCTTCCTGTGTTGCGTCGTCTGTGCGGAGGTGTCATTGGAGTGCAGGTTCCCTGGAGTCAGGGATCGGAGTCCTGGGCTTTTGGGAAGCTCCAGCAGCCTTTAGTACACTGCTGCCGGCTGGAGCTGCCTGTTGTCATTCCCACCAGTGGCCCCGGAGAGACGGCTGCTCCTCCTCCTTTCCTGGTGGTGTGGCACATTCCTTTCCCTGACCACCTTCCAGGCAGCTGTTCTCACATTTGGGAAGCAGTGGGACTGGAGTGATGGCTGGTTTTGAAGGGGTGCAGAGCGGGAGCCTTGCTCATAGGATAGGGGTGGAGTGTAGTTGACAGTGTCATCCCTAATATAAGGAGGACCTGAAGAATAAACTGCTTCCTCTGCTGCCTGCAAAGAACACTTGGCTGTGCAAGTTGACAGGATTTTCATCTTTGTCCAACAATGAAAGAAATGTGTTTAAAATATATAGAAAAAGGCAACCCTTGCCCTCAAAGCTTAGCAGTGCGTTGATGTTGCTATTGAAGCTGCTCAAAAGGGCAGGAAAACTTGTGCCTTGAGATTTTCAGGAAGGTTGTTTTGTCTCTTCACATGCTTGGTGCTACTAAGCACTAAATGCAGAAGCCCAGACAAGACTTTATAGGGCAGTTTGGGGAAAACTGCTCTGTCTTTGCCTTGTTACAGTTGACAGGCAGGTACCAGCAGTGCTCTGGGTGTTAGTGCAGGACGGGTGACAAGAAGTTCTCTACAGCAGCACTAATACAGAAGAATACTGTGGTGGTTTCCAGTGCTGCAGCATGAGGAGGGCAGGAATTAGTCATGCCTTTCTATATTGTAAAGTAAGGGAGTGGGGAGGGAGAAGGGCTTGGGGTTTTGGAAGAACAGACAGCATTTTTGAAAGCTGAGGGTGCTTCCTTACTGGAAAGCATCCTTGTAATTTTCCTGCTGGTAGAGAATATGGTACCAGTATTGTAAAGTAGCAATCTGCTCTTTCAGGGGAGTTGTTTGACTCGAAGCTCCTTCAGCCCTTAACCAGCTATTCTTGCCCCAGAGTAAAACAAAACAAACAAACAAACAGAAAAAAAATAAAAAAGAAGGAACTTCCCCTCCTTTCAATCAGGGAACAGAAAGAGGTGAGGAAATGGGGACTTCCCGTGCCTGAACATGTACCTCAGTAGTCTCCTGAGGAGTCCAGAAGCAAAGGTAAAGTAGTGGTAATACCACTGTTTTAGAAACAGGTGCTACATTTCTACCTAGTAGTGGTATGTATTTGTAAGAAGGAATGCAATGGTGAATAAATGTGTTCAGTATTCCTGATAGCCTGTCCTACATAAACAAATTGGAATCTGATAATTTCCAGTGCTGAAGTCTTAAGGCATCATCAGCACTCCAGCAACTACTGTGGTTTGGACTTTGAAGTCTGACCTTAACTAAGCACTGGACCTCAACTAGGAACGGAAAGGTGTGTATGGGGAAACCTTAGTTTCCAAAGCACACGTGTGCCTTCCAGGCCTTTCCCCTGCTGTGGAGTATGAGCAACATGGCAGCACGGAGTGCTTCTCCCTTAGGATAGGAAATGCTCTGTAGGATGCAGTATGAGCTGGAGTTGAGGCTGAAAGGGAAGAGTTCAGTGTTGGTGCTGTCTGTGTGTTGAGATCTTAATTGAATCCCCAAGTATCAGCTTTATGAAATAACAGTATAAGCTTGGATTTCATTTCATAAACTGTCTTCCAGTGTGAAAGATGCAGTATGATATTTGAGAGAGAAACCCAGTTATCAAACCCATTATAACATTCTCATCCAAACCATGCTCTGGTTTATCCACCCATCTAGTCTTTGTGGTAATAAGGGCAAATGTAGTTTCTGCTCTTGCTTTTAGTAAACAGTCAAAAAACTATGTGTGTAAAAACAAACAAATCCAACAAAACAGAAACTCTCCTGCTGACAGTGGTAGGAAAATTGTTTTCTTTTGCTGCAGAAAGGCTAAGGAGAGAATTACTGTAAAATACTAAGGGAACTAGTTTCTGAAGTCATCAAGAAGGGAATTCTTGAGGACAGTAGCGTTCAGGAGGTCTCAACTTTGATATGAGATGGAGAAATCACCTGGAATTTTCCCCTACTAAAAGGGGAGAAGCTTGTGTGGAGGAGGGCTGCAGGCCTAGCCTAGCAAAGGGCAGGGATTTCTGAGATGGGAAAAAACACTGACCAGCCACGAAGTTTACACTGGGGAGATCGGGAAATGGGAGTAAGAGAACTGACACATCACGCTGACTTCTGCTTGTATCCAGCTGGAGACGACGGTGAGTGAGAAGTGAGGTGTTTGTTGCGATTGTGGACACATGCTTAGTTTTCATGAAGTTAGGTGTGTGGAATGATGGAAATAAAACATGCACATGTGAACTGGGAGGTGCTTTTCCCCACCTGCACTCTTTGGGAGAACAGACATAATTTGTCTGACACCTAGCTTATGAGACTGTATGGCTTAGCAAGACCTGAATAAGCTTTTGAAATGGTAGATGAGACTGTGTGTGACAAAACCAAACTGATTTCTAAAAGAAAAAGATGAATAGGAGATCTAGGCAGCTGTAGAGTTCTTGATGCTGCCTTGTGTATTCGGGGTTTAGAATAAGCTGTGATGGAAAAGAGAATTAGGTGAATTAATGAAATAGAAGAATGGGTGCAGTGGGTTTGCCGGAGAGAGAAGTGTAGTCTATCACAAGGTGCAGGATTCATCAGTGGATAAGGATATCGCTGCCTGAGCTCACTGTCCAGAATCCCTTAGAGAGAAATAAGCTTTTCCAGGGTATAATTAATTTAATCCTAAATTAGATGTTGAAAACTGATCTAATGTATTACATGCTGGAAGTGCTTATTCCTTTCCTTATTATAGATTAAGGTAGAGCCTAGGGCTCTGTCTCAGATGTGGAAGCTGGGCATTAACCACACTGGTGCCATGGCTGCCTGGGCTTAACCCAGGAGGGGAGAAGGACTTGGACCCCTCTCTGCAGCACTGGGTGTTGCACTTGCAGCTGGACAAAGAAATGTGGATGCCTCATACCAATGCTTTGGAAAGTTCCTGTGGGGTGTTTTGTACAATCCTGGTTCATCCTCTGAAAGACTGGTCTGCCCAAGCAGATGGAGATGAAAGGAAGGCACCTGTGCCTTCTTGCCTTGCTCAAAAAGATGGAAAAGAGGTCTGGGGATTGTGCCTGTTCTCTCTAAATGGCACCTGGGCATCACATGTTCTGATAAAGGCAGTGTTGATGGGAGTGAAACTAGGCTGTCCAGAACCTTAGTGACGTTATTCTTCCAGGTATGGGGACAAACATCTCCTAAACTTTGAAAGTATGTGGAGGCGGCGTTGTGGTTACTGTCTGAACATGGTACTGCAGAAGATTCTTCCCAGTTCCCTGCTTCTTGGTACAGAAGGGTGTTGAGCAACTCTGGTTTGCCAGATAGGTCCACCCTTACTGCCAGCTGCTTTTCTGGGAGAGTAGTGTTGAATTCCAGGAATTTGTACTGTTGGCCTCTGGTGGAAGGGTGCTCCAGGAGATATACCTGCCTCTGATTGTATGTGGAGCTGTGGGTGAGAGCAAGGGATGGAGGGCTCCCTGGAGTTGTCAGGTCCATGGCTATGCTCTGTGTGCTGTCTGCAGGGCGGGATAAATGGCT